CCTATCTTGTATCAGAGGATCTGGAAGTAAGTTACTGAGAAGAATAGCAATGGAAGGGAGTTGCACAATCCGAAGGAGTATGTTTTGTACAGACACGATAAAATCTGGTGAATTCTCCCTGTACCACATCAAAGCACACCTTGCCGATGACCTGTCTGTCACCAGCACTGTCTTCCCTTCTGTGGAGCAGCGCTGGGTAAAAAAGCCAGGACTTGCCTGGATCAACTTCTTGAACATGCAGCCCAGCCTTTCTGTTAATACATTCTTCCTGCAGAGAAATCAGATTACAATTGATTATATCAATTATTTTTCTTTTAGACATTCAGTGCATTTGGGTGGAAACAGTATTCTGCTTCCCTTATTTTGATCTGGTGGTGCCCCAAACTCCTTTGTCAGGCATTCACCTTCCCTCAGGATGGGTTACTTTCTTAGGTGGTTAACTTTATCTATCATTCACTGATTTTTTAAAAGATCTTATTTATTTATTTTTAGAGAGAGGGAAAGGGAGGGAGAAAGAGAGGGAGAAAAACATCAATCAGTTGCCTCTCGTAAGCACCTTGACTAGAGACTGAACCGTCAACCCAGGCATGTGCTCCAACCTGGATTTGAACCAACCACCTTTTGCTTTGCAGAACGACGCCCAATCCATTGAGCTAACACCAGTCAGGGCTCATTGATTTGTATTAGTTGCACAATCAGAGTTGTCTTGTCAAGTTCAGAGTGTACCTTACTGAGTTGCCTCAGGTGCCAAACAAGAGACCCAACTTTGCTAATCATTATCATTGCCATCTTTAGCACAGTGATAATTAAAAAAAAAAACAAAACACTGTGAAAAGAGCTTTGTGAGTGAGTGTTAATGTAAAGTGATCATTTTAAAACTTAGGTAATACTTGCCCCTCCTTGGCCCTCCAGTGGTTTCCCAGCCTCCTCAGAGTAGAATCTAAACCCCTTGCCTTGGTGGAGTGACCCTGGCGCTGCCAGCCCAGGGACCTCAGCATCTTCAGCCCGGAGCCTGACATGTGTCTGGCTCACAGAAAGTGTTACAGAAATATTCGTGGGCGAGGTCCTTGAACATGCCAGACTTGTTCTGCTTTTCCCTTTGCCTAGAATTCTCTTGCTCCAGTGTTTTTACAAAACTGGCTCATTATTTCGGCCTCAACACAAACAATCTCCTTGGAAAGGTCTTCCCTGATGATAAAGCCTAAAATTCACTCCCCTGCATTCCATCCCCCAAGGTGTCACTTTGTCTGATATTCTTCATTATAGTTACCACACCCTGAGATTCCCTTGCTCCACTTTTCATTTATTTAGGTATATTCTGTCACCAGCCGGAATTGGTGACAGTCACATTCTGTTACCAACCGTCTTTTCTGGTTCAAGCCTGCTTTCCCAGCACCCTGAGCAGTGCCCGGGGGTTACTGGCTCTCTATGCTCGTCTTGCCTGACTGACAGACGGTCTGAACGAACGAAGGGACGAAGGGATGAATGAAAGCCAAGCAACTCTAGATGGCACTCACCGGTGTGCTTTGCCTGATTTCACCCTCACAACCACCTTACGAAGTAAGCACTATCTTACTATTAGTCCCATATTATTGAGAAGAAAACTATGTCTTAGAGAGGCAATGTGATTTGCCCAAGGTCACGTTATTAGTAACTTGTGAAGCTGGAATTCAAATCCACATGTGCCTGTTCTACAGATAACAATTCATCTACTTCTCAAAATCTATCTTGTTCCTCTTGATGTGGGTTTGGAGGTCACAGGTGGGCTCCACACTGGAAAATGGGATTCCTGCTTCTCCAACCCCTCCCTCCCCCATTAACCTTATCCCCCGCAGGCGAGCAGCTGGCCTGCCCTGGTGGGGTCACCACACACCTGGGAGCAGGAGCATGCGTACTGTTTGTGGGTTTTCTGCTCCAAAAGAGAGCCAAGAAGAGGCTGGCCTGGGCCCCTACAGGGACCTTCCCCCCCCCCCCCACTCACTCATCAGAACAGTTCCCAAGGAGCTGGGGCCAGGGGAGGGGAAGGAGCAAGGCGTCCGGAGAAAAACGGAGACCTATGTCCCTAATACTCCCAAGGGGGCCAAAGTTCCTGTTTTGTGGACGGAGACAATAACACAGGGAAAGGGAGAACATTCCCCCTGCTCCAACCCTCAATGATAAAGATAAAACCCTCACCTTACAATAGAGTAGGTGTAGGAAATAGAAGTGATTGTTGGGTGTTTATGTGGGGGGAGGGATACAATCTACGTTAGCGATATCAGGGCTCAGCTCGGCTGGTTGACTTAATCCAATCACTTCTAAAAAATCGCTCAGCACCTCTGAGTCAAGTTTAGAGTCAAGTTTAAACTCCCTCTCAGGGCAAGGCCCTTTAAGGGCAGCCCCTGGCCCCTCTGCAGTCTCATCTGCTCCCCTTGGCATCTACTTGGCAATTTCTTTACACTTCCGGGCCTTTGTAAATGTCACTTCTTCTCCACTTGGCTACTTCCTCTTCAGCTCTCAAGGCCAGGCAACTGGAAGAGCAGTTCGAAGGCAGATTAAGTTTTACTTATCTCCACATCCTCCAGCCTCTCAGTGTGGTTGTGTTCAGGGAGCACCAGAGTGTCCGCTCAGAGGCAGCCTTCAGGGAAGGAGCCTGCCTGGAGCCCCTAAGCTGTGCTGGGGGTTGGGGGACTCGCCTTCTTCCTCCCAGAGCATTTCAGCACATCCGTCCTTATAGTTCTACTGCTATACTTTAAATTTGTTTTTCTTTCTTTCTGAGGAGATAGATGTGTCTCATGCGTCACTACATCCCCAGTATTAAGACACAGGACCTGGCACATAGTACTCGTTCAGTAAATTGATTTGTGAATGAAATTTCTTCTGGATCTCCATAACGTGGAGACCACCGTGCTGGGCACTATTAGGGGGTTACAAAGCTGTATCTCTGATTTAATGGGGAACAGGACTCAAACTGTTCACATACATGTACACATGTGAGATGAAGACAATGCTACAGAAACTTAAGGAGAACACTGCTGACTTATCGATGGTAAGAATGATCATACATCCTCCTTTCCACCTGGAAGTTAACTCTTATCTGTTAACTATTTTTCTTAATGGTTTTAGAAGTGTCCTTCATCATGTAGCATAAACAATAAAGAAACAGCCCTGGCTGGTGTGGCTCAGTGGATTGAGCACCAGCCTGTGAAACAAACAGTCGCCAGTTCAATTCCCAGTCAGGGCATATGCCTGGGTTGCAGGCCAGGTCCCCAGTTCCGGAGAGTGTGAGAGGCAACCAGATCAAGGTATCTCTTTTATGTCCATGTTTCTCTCCCTCTCTTTCTCCCTCCCTTCCCTCTAAAAACAAATTTAAATAAGAAAGGAAATAATGCCCAGGTGACAGGCGGGGAAGGGCTGGGATGTGACTTCAGTAGTATCCCAGAAGTTTGACTCAGGGTGAAGGGGTTAGGTTATGCCTTTAGAGAGAGCTGGGTTTAGACTCTACCTCGGATGGAAACAGAGGGCGTGTCCATGGGAGGGCTTGAATGAAAGCAGTAGCAGAAATGGGTGCTTCCCAAGTCCGTTCCTTAGCCTCCAGCTCCAGTTCTACTGTGTGTCCCCAGCACCCCCAGGCTGCTGGCCACCTCCTGAGAGGAAGAGAAGTGGAATCCTGAGTGCTGGAATGTGGGAACAAGAGATCATCCAAACGAGTAAACAAGATAGCTAACAATCTTATTTCCCGTTGGGAGCCTTTGGTCTAACATCTGACTTGTGCCTGAGAACTGGCAGTCCAAACCTTTTATTTTTTTATAGTACTGATGTGGCGTACTTCTCTAGGGCAAGACTCTACACTGGAGTTTGAATGGTGCAGAACAATGGCCCACAGCAGCTGACTGGGCCAGACGTTCTCAAGCTCCCCTGATTCTGCTTCTCATCGATGCTAGGTGGCCTTAAACAACCCAAAACTGAACAAATTCACGGTCCCCAGAGGGGAGGGGTAGAAAAGGGGTAGGGGATTAAGAAGTACAAACTTCCAGTTATAAAACAAGATATCAGGATGTAATGTACAGCATAGGAAATAGAACCAAAAACATCACACTAATTAGGGTGACAGATGGTAACTAGACTTATTGTGGTGATCACTTTGCAAGGTGCAATATATAAATGTTGAATCACTATGTTGTACAGCTGAAACTGACATAATACTGTATGTCAATTATAATTGAAATACATTATGAAAAAGAGAAATAATCCAAAAGTGGAATTCTGTAAAGTGGGGCACGGGAGAGCACGCTGGTTGTGGGGTTTGGACAGAGTCAAGAGCCGGGAAGTGCCTCCTCCGTCAGCAGGTACATTAGTCTAGACTAACATGCTGACCTATCATTTTCCTTTTCTTCATTTTTATTAACAGAGAGAAAGTGGAGGAGGGGAATAAACGAACTTGAACAAACATTCTGTCTAAATTCACCAGATCCTTGCGTTTTTTAAACTCAGGATTCTCATTGCATCATCCATTTAGAATTAATTGCTGCTTGGTGAGTTCTTAGCAATAGTTTCCTATTGCTTTTTATTTAACCTTCTGTGTCTTTAGTGCTCTCAGATGGTTGGCCGCTGCAGGAGAGGGGCTGTGTCTCTTTAACGTTCCAGCCCCCTTCAACACCCAGCACGGTGCCTTGAACAAAATGGGCACGTGTTCTATAAACGCTGTTCAGAAATTCATGAATGAGTCCTTAGGAGGGAAGAGGTGAAGATGAAACATTGCTTTCACAGTGAGAAGGAATCTTTCTCAGTTTATTTCAGATATAAATCAGCTAGGCAGCGTAAAACGTGCTTCTATATGCTCACCAGGTGCAGGGATGGGTTTTGGCTGAGATTGAGAAATTCGATGCTGGAGAATAATAAAATGGGAGGGGAACTGAAGGCTGAGAACATCGAGGAGGCGGAGCCGGCGCGAGTTGAAGCATTTCTGTCCAATCAAAAGGAGACGGTAGGAGCAGAAGGGGGAGATAAAGGGGGAGCGGGAGATCCTTAGTCCCGCCCAGTTACTCTAGCCCGGCGGTCGCAACAGTAGCTTCTGGGTTTAGGTGTTTCTGCGCTGGGAGAGCGGTCGATTTCCAGGCTGGCTCCAGCAATGGCCTTCGCAAATTTACGGAAAGTGCTCATCAGTGATAGCCTGGACCCTTGCTGCCGGAAGATCCTGCAAGATGGAGGGCTGCAGGTGGTGGAGAAGCAGAACATGAGCCAAGAGGAGCTGATCGCCGAGCTGCAGGTAATGCGAGAGGGAGGAAGACAAGCATCCTCCGCGGAGGCAGGCTGGCCGCTGCGCCCGGGCCAGCGCGCCCCACCCCCACACCCCGTCCCGTGTATCAGTCGGTCCTGGGGCCTCCTGATTTGGGGGTTGGGGGAGGGGGAGACGAGGGAGGATCAACGGCAGCGAGCTGCAGGATGTAAACTTTCCGTTGAGTTTGCAACCGAGCTTTTCGCGTTGGCTTGCCACCCGCGAGTAGTGCAATGTGTAGGCTGCTCCAACGGATCCTGCAGGCTGTCCGCGGGATGCCAGCGCGGCTCCCCAGCGCCTTGGTGCGCAGTGGCCCTGGCCGCTGGGCCCCGCGCGCGGGGCACCGAGGGAGGCGCGCCAAAGTGGCTTCCGGCTCAGGGGCCCGCGATCCTACCCCGACTAAGCCCTGGCTCGCGCAGCGGAGTCCTGCCTTCCCAGAGGGTTGGGGGGTGGGGTGCGGCGGAGCTGGCCGAGTCCCAGCCTGTCTCGTGGCAGCTGGAAAAGCTGCAGACAAGGCAGCAAATGTACCCGCTTTTCGTCTGACGCAAGACTGCTGCGAGTTTTCACCGCCCCTCCACCCCCTGGTAGCTCGTAGGAAACGCGCGGGCTGGGGGCGCCCGAGTTTCCCCGGCCGCCCACGCGGCCGCAGCAGCCGCCTCAGAGGTCCAGGCTTGGCTTCCGCACGTGGCCCCAGCAGATGGCCTCGCCTTGACCTCATCGCTGGTCAGGAATGACAAGACAGGACTAGAATCCATCCCAGGCGCCCCTAGGAAACTGGTACACTGTTTCTTAGCAAATCTTTCTAAGGAACGTGTATCTGTCGTGATGTAGAATTAGCCCAGTCTTCCTCCGCGGTCGTAATTTACCTTGGTTGTAAGGGCCCTGTGAGATTTGGTGGCTTCGCCCAGTGAATGTCACTTGTTTTGTGAACTCTTCCAGCTCCTGCACTTCTACACTCCTGGCACCTGGGTGTCTACGCCCCATCCCCCAGCTTCCACACTCTGCAGTGTAGCCTCCTACCAGCCTCAGGATGGATCCACCCCTTCCACCCTTAGCTCCCCCTAAAGAGGCAGCTACTGTTATTTCCTCCGCTACTGCACGGTCCTCAGCACTGTCTGTGCAGTCTTCTCTGCCGTTGTGTCTCTTCCTCGACTCCCCGGCCCCATATCCACCCTGTCCTGTACTCAGAGAAGTGTCTGACCGGTCCTAGCCTTCAGGAAGCTTGTAGGTGAGTTAGGGAGCCTGGCCAAACGGCGATTGAGACGATTGACTCACCACATGAGTGGGAAATGGGACCATGCAGCAGCAGCTCGGCCTCTGCTTGATCCGACCGCTGAAAAAGCAGAGAGAAGGGGCGATCAGCCTGGGCGGGGTGGGGGGGCAAGGGCCCAGGTTCTGACCTAAGGAGCAGGGTAGGGCTAGATGAGACAGAGCACCTCCCATTCTTCACCTCCTCTTTTGTATGGATAGTATCAACGACCTCCACCAGATCTCTGGAGTAGGAGAGTGGCCTTCCCTTAGGGGCTTTGTAGCTTTCTTATGGAAGTTTGAGGTCTTATGGGGATTGGGGGTGGGGGAGATGAGTCACGGAGGGGTAAGTGCGGGATTGAGAAGAACCAGGGAGGGGTAAATACAGATTTGGGAAGAACCGGAGGCCTCCGCAGGAGTGGGGGCTTCAGTGAAGTTGGGCGTTCAGCCAGGTGGATGCTGGGAGTCTGGAGCTGCAGTCCGGAGGCCTTTGTAAAGGCCCTGCAAACTTGCGGGACAGAAAGGGTGTTTTCTTGGCTAGACTGCCGGGCATCCGTGGGCTGTGTGGGAGCACCCAGCCATCCTGTTTTTGTAAAGCATTCAGTTGGGAGTGTTGGTTAGACTCCTTGGCAGCCCACCGGAGGGGGGCTTCTCTGCTGCGTGCCTTTTTATTCTGAGTGCAGAGGCCTCCGCCGTTAGTGTCCCTCCCCTTGCCCGGCTCCCTCCCCCGCCTCTGCCTTTCGCCCCCCCATTTAAATCTTTGTTAACACTGAAGGAAGCTCCAGCACGTGGCCTGAAGCAGGCGTGGTCTCCACTCCCACTTAGTATTCTGGGCAGGCACGGTTTGCTCTCTCTCACTCCCCCAGAACGGTCCTTTTCAGACTTGAAGCAAGTCACAGCTAGTCCATTACTGGGTAATGAAGTCGGTTTAATGGGTCATGATTAGCATTTTAAAAAAGCAAAATAAGAAATATCAGAGAGCAGTGGAGATACTAAGGCTAATATTGTGTCATGAAATTTGTTGCAATTATGTGTTGTAGCTGGGGGGGGTGTGGGTTTAAAAATCACAATTTAATCTTATGTTTCTAACTATGGGTCTTAATTAAAAAACGTTTAGGAGTTAGGAACTCACAAAACTGAGACTGTACTCCTCCTCGTTCTGCAGATGCCATGTCTTAAATATGCAAGGAACATTTAACTCTTAGCCTAGATCAGTGGCTTGTAAACTTTGCCCGGGACCCACAATCAGAAATTCACTTTACATCACAACTCAGTCTACACTCACGTATGTGTACATGCACACACTGAAGTTTCATGAAATGATACCTTCACCGTATGTGATGCGCTGGCATGTTTTCTCCTGTCCCATTAAATAGCAGTGCAGGTCAGAATCCAGTTAGACTGCATGCTGGTGATAACTTAGGGAAGCATACTGACACCTTTATCTCAGAATTTTAAGAAAGATAAAGAAGGGAATAAATTTCCACGCAAGAGTCTTTTGAAAGGCTCATTTAAAATAGGAATTTCCAGACTGTACACCAGGATTTAGTTTGCAAAAGTTAAATAATCCCCAACTTAATCAGGATCACACCTGATGTACAGAACAGAGCCTACCTGCATCTTTTATGGCTGGGGAACTGACCTGGAAATTCTCTTGGACTTCATCCATGATTTAAGTCAGAGGCATGAGCAATGCTAGCATTGCCTCCAGGGCCAAGCCTGTCCTTGTTGGGAAAGTATGTGTGAACTTGGGAAACGTGAATGGGTTTTCACTGCTGAGTTGGCAGTTTGTCCGGAGCAGCCATCAGTCCAGCAGAACAGGGGCCTGCTGTTCTCCAGCACTGAGGCAGCTGGGGGATGGGGTTGGGGCCCAGGAGGAGGTGCACCTTGCCAGCTGACGCTCCTAACGCTGATAAGGCGCTCAAAGAGCAGAGAAGGTGGTGAGAGGTGTACTCCGCCCTGGGAGTGCCAAAGTGGGCCTTGGGGATGCTGGAAAGAAAGGTAGAATCGCAGCAAACTGAGGATGAATCCCATGACAGAGGATTTGCAAAAGGCTGTAGTTTTCTACGTGAGGAGAGGAGCAGGCTGCATGGAGCCAAAGTCTGGGAGGAATGACATGTGGTCTGAGAAGAGGATGGTGCCTGAGAGTGCCCAGTATGTTGAGGGATCAGCAGGAGATAGGTGGGCACATTGTCTCATTAAATATGTGCTGATTGAAGCAGCTGATGATGCAGTTGAATGAAGCTGGGGGTGTGGAGGGTGTAAGAGGCCTTGGAAGCCAGTGAACTCTGGCCAACAGGATTGGGACCAGGGTTTGCTGAATGGGAGTCTCCGAGGGCAGATTGTCCTCGTGGTTCGGACCAGCCCTGAGTGCACGTCTGTACTGGGTCGAGTGGAGACTCTTCAGACTTTCTGGCTCGGAAGAAAGCTGGTTTGAGGGGCACTACCCTTGAGGAAAAGTAGAGAGAGGCTGCAGGGTAAATCTCCCTAAGGGAGATCCTTCCATAGAGCGAGGCTGGGCTGGTTAAAGAAAAACTAGTGCTGTTCCTGAACTTGTCCTCAGGGCCTACAAGAATGGGGTGGACAGCTGGGGCTGTCCTTGTCTGCACCCACAGCCGGTCTGTTCTGTTCTCTGAGAAGCAGATGCCCGAGGTTTGGAGAAGGTGGTGGCCGCTTTGGAGAGAGAATTCAAGGAGGCCAGACCCTTGGGGGTGACTCGAGGAGGTGATTGGGGTAGCATGTGCAGAGCAGGACTGGGCCTGAGATGTGGGCCCAGAAAAAGAAGAGGCAAAGTGGTAATAAGACTGTGACTCTGTGAGTGGCCCCTGCCCACTTCTTGTCAGTTGAACTTGGACCCCTGGCGCTGGGCTGACCACTTCACAGGAAGTTCTGTTTCCTCTGTCTTGCCAATTACCCAAGGTGCCATTGCTGGTGGTAAAGGAATATGCCTTCAAAATGTGCTCCCTTGCTGTGAAATTGCCCTCCAAGAAGGTTATGTAATTTACACTCCTATTTCCCTGTCTTTTCACCAACACCGAGTATTATCAACTTTCTCTTTTGTCAGTATGATACCTGAAATTACCACATGGAGCACCAACTGGTAAACATAAAAGGTCTCTGGTGAGGATAAAAAATTTAAAATAAAAAATAAAAGCACCGTGTTTTGATCTTCTAAACCTAATACACGACTTGGCCTTACTACCATCCTGTGGCAAATTAGGAAGTTTCCCGATTTGATTTGATTTTAAACATCAATCCACAGAGATGTCTAGCAAGGAACAGGTTAATAATCTGAAAGTAATTTTAAAATTCTGTGTATCACTGGTTCATGAGAAAATGTCAAACATGGTAATACTCTGATGTGAAAATGAAGTAAACAAAAAAGTATATATTAAACTATCGTTAAGTTGGCTTTTTAATTTTTTTTGCTTTCCTCAATTACAGTTCATATTCAGTATTATTTTACATTCGTTTCTTGCATACAGCATAATGATTAGACATTTATACAATTACAAAGTGATCTCCCTGGTAATTCCAGTGCCCGCCTGGCACCACACACAGTTGTTATAATGTTATTGACAAGAGGGCGGGGCAAACACAGGCTCACAGTTGTTTGCATGGAACATAACACGATGCTTAATAAATAATAGTACAAGACTAAGTTCCGTTTCACGTACTCACAACTGTAAACCTGCGTGTGCCCGCCCTGTGCATTCAACCCCACGACTATTTTGTTAACTACAAAGATACAACATTTTAAAATTCGCATTTCTTTGATATCTAGTGTTCACAAGTTTTGTAATAAATTACTGGCCACTTTGTTAGTTCTTCTCTAAATTGCCTACTTACTACAGCTTTGCCTTTCTTTTTTTTTTAACTGTGTTTTCTATCATGTAAGAAAGTGATTTGTAGGAAGTCTTGATTATTTTGGAGGATGAATCTTCGTTCTGTTACACATGTTGGGAAACGTTTCTCCCCTGTCAAGCTTGGCTTTAACTCTGTTTATGGATCCTTTCCATACGGAAGTTCACATTTCAAATGCAATCAAACTCGTGCATATTTTCCTTGGTGACTTCTGGGACTCGTGCCTTGCTTGTGAAACTCTCTCGTCCCAAGATCATAAATGTATCCCCTTGCATTTTGTTCTACTGCTTGTATTTTTTAAGTTTCTTTAATTCATCTGGATTTTTAAAAATCTGTAGTGAGGTAGCAATTAAATATCTTGTTCATTACCTTTTCCTGGTGCCATTTATTGTACAGATCTTGCTTTGCCCATGACTTTGAATTTCACCTTTGTTTTCTAAGTTCCCACATGTACCTGTGTCTGTTTGTCTACTGCCTATTGGGTTTTGTTCACTGATTTGGCTGAACTTTTTTCTGTCTGAACTTTTTTCTCTCTCTCCCAGCTTGTTCTCCCTTTTCAGAAAACTCTTGAGTGTCCTTGTATATATAGATCTTAATCATTTTTACCATAGTCTGGAGATGGGAATATATCTGGTGCTGGATTTTCAATCACGTGGCCTGTTCAGCTATTTGGGGAGGACGTTGGGGGTGGGGAGAATGGTGAGGTTAGGTTTTCATGGGCCTCTCTAATCATGGGATTCATTTTTTCAGTGGAATGTTTTACTGCGTATCAGCTATTAAAATAATCTTTGCTTTAGAGACATAAAATACAGATGAGGAAAACGAACTGCAGGTCAGAGAGAGGACGTCTAAATGTGAAACAGATGATAAGAAAATGGAGGAGGCGCGGTGAGGGAGCCTAGGATTTTTTGCAAATGTTTCATGGAAGGGAAATTGATCCTTGTCTTGAAAATCCGGCAGTGTGTGGCCAGGCAGGGGGAGCCTTTTCCTTTGGAGCCAAGTGCAGTGGACTTGAATGTGGGACAGACAGCAGTGTCCCCTTTCTGCCTGGGCATTGGCTGGTGTTCAACTAGGGAGGTATTCAGAGTACCTGGTGTTGGCTGCCAGCCCAGACAGGGTGGCTGCTGTCTGTTTCCTCTAAGCTTTTCGTGCCTCGGACACGCCGAGATCGCACCACTCAACGTGCGACAGGGAGCTGTCCTGTGTGTGTCACTGTGAGCTTGAGGAGCGGAGCTGCGAGTTTACCTCATGTGACAGGGCCTAGCATGATGCCAGATCAAGGTGTGTCCAGAAGCCTTCCAGCCATGCAGTATGAAAAAGACACGTTTATTGAAGATACAAGGTAAAAGAAACATTGGGATGAAAGTACATGGTGACAGTCAGTGATGCCTCAGTCCCCTTCACAGTGGACACCTTGAGACCTCACACAGTTCTAATCGCCATCACATGCCCTGTTATATTTTGTTGAATCTTATCAAAGGTCTCAAATTTCTTCCCCTTCAAAGGTGATTTTAGTTTGGGAAAAAGCCAGAAGCCACAGGGCCCCAAATCTGGGCTGTGGGGGATGGGCGGTTGAGTCACTTGGGTAATTTGATTTTTCACCAAAAACTCTGCAGGAGACGCGATGCATGAGCAGGTGCATTGTTGTGACGAAGCTGCCAATCACCAGTTGCCCATAGCTGCGGCCTTCTGAATCATCCCAGTAGTTTCCATGGAGGAATGTTAAAGCTTAATGCAAAATCTGATACAGATTCATTACTGTAGTCTCTCAGTCATTTTGAATGCGACGGCCACAGAGTGCACATGCTCACTCAAGGGCATCTACTGCCCCCACTGGCTAGTACCGTGAGGTCGTCATTGTTCATGCATGTGCGTTCCGGTCCACTCTCCTTGGCTGCCAGGTTCCATCCAGGTCATGCAAACTGTTCTGGTTACATTAACAATGGCTGGACTTTTTCTAGACAGACCTCAAACGGAGGGAAGAAAGTTCTTGTGGGGTCCATCCGAGAGCTTCACTGAGGAAAATCCAGAGACTTTACTCACGGGAGTCAGATCAGATGTGGGAGGGGCTTAAGGGGCCATTTGCTCCAACCCTGGTACAGGCAGAGACCAGGCTGGGGGTGGCGTGACTGGCCTGGGTCTAGCACCCAGCCTCCCAACTCGACTCCCAGCCCGCTGCTCCTGTGACGACTCTTGCTTCTTCCTCACCCACCTGGGATGGCCAGTGCGGGGCAGACATGTGCGCATGGGGTGTTTCTTAGGGATGCTCATTGGGTGTCTCAGCAACAGTATCCTTACTCTGGGAAGACACCCCAGGGTGGTCTGGATGAGCCTCTGAAGCCAGTCTTGGGGTCTAGCTTAGCCCAAGTAAAGTGGCTGTGATGACTAGAATCTTTTTTTTCACATATGTATTTAGTCTAATGTTGCCTGGAGTTTGAGCCATTAGGGACCAATTTCACTGTTCTCCCCTTCCCCCTTACTTTGGTTTCTATTTTAGGAAATGCTTTCTTTCGACCGTTTTGCCTTTCCGCACTTCACTTTTTCATTCAGCCAACCAGGACATTCGCTGACTGCCTTCCACGTTCAGCACGGGGGCTCCCAAGGTGGAATTCGGTCCCACCTCCTGTAGTTGCTCAGGGTCGATGCAGGAGTGGCATCCCTGGGCCGGGGCCAGCTGTCGTGCCTCTTCCCACACGGTTGGGGAGGCTGAAGCTCAGATTCTTGGCTTCTAAGGGCTGGGGCTTGGATTTGAACCCAGACCTGACTGGTGGAGCTCTCGGGTGTGTAAACAGTACATGGGTGCCCTTGCTTCCCCTTCCCCGAGAACATCCCAAGTCCGCCAGCATGTGGCAGCCCCGCTTTGGGCAGAGAAGCTCTAGGAGGAGGTCTTCAGTCCAGCTCGATGCACCCAGTTGTTTCTCCTTCTGCCGCAGGACTGCGAGGGCCTCATTGTCCGCTCGGCCACCAAGGTGACCGCTGATGTCATCAACGCAGCAGAGAAGCTCCAGGTGGTGGGTCGGGCCGGCACGGGCGTGGACAATGTGGATCTGGAGGCCGCCACAAGGAAGGGCATCCTGGTCATGAAGTGAGTCGTGGAGGCCGGGGGCGAGTGTGGAGACAGGCCTTGAGGAGGGAGGAGAAACCTCACTTTAGAGAGAGCCGGGTCGGAGTCCGAGGGCTTCCAGGAGGAGGAGGCCTGATCCAGGGTGGTCAGTGCTTCCAGCTTAGTGGCGCCCAAGGGTTTGACCTTGAGGCTGTGTTTGTCAACTCAGTGCCTCACGAACCCACCCCACAGATGTTTGTAGTCTTCAGCCTGGTTCAGGAGGCAGAAGAAAGTTAGTGAATTTGTCTGGCTCCTCTGAATTAGCTCTGCCCCTCCCCCTCCCTCGTTCTGTCTGGAGCCAGATATTGTTAGCCCTGCTCCTGCTCTAAACCCAAACGCACAGCCTTTGCTACCAGGGTGACTCTGCCTTCATCTTCCTTACTTCCCTGCACCCCCTGGAGCCAAGAGCACAGTTTCTCTTTCACGCCTCAGGGCCAATAGGAAAAGTGTCCCCGCTGGAACTGTTTTTGCATAAATTCAGGGGAAACATCACTGCCAGTGCAAGGAGACACTCCTTTCTGGCTCCCGCCTGGCACTGGCTGAGGCAAGATTGTTCCCAGTCCACTTCTCTGTCCCTTGGAGTCCTTTTCTCTTCCATTGGGAACCTCATTGTCCTCTAGTCCCTTCCCTCAACCCCCCTGTAGGGTAGGGGTGAGTTGGTCTGTCACCCAACTGAGGGCAATACCCAGCAGCAGGAATGTTAACCAGTAGCCCTGTGACTTCCGGGCCCTGGCCCCAGGGGCAGCAGCCCGCTGGCCCGGCCCCTCCTCCCGCATCCCCATCCGGCCTGTTGGCTGGGGATCTGGGGAGCCAGGGTCTGGTGCAAAGGTGGGCTCTGAGAATCCTTTTTTCTTTTTTAAACCAAGCCAAAAAACCAGTTTTATTAAAGAAAGATTTTGCATGATTTACTGCCCATTGGTCTGACCTGGCACACCTCTAATGACACCAGTCACCCGGGTCAGTGACGCCGGTGTGCGTGCTCTGATGCTACCCACACGCCGTGCCCGGTTCGTACCATCGCCGCCATAGTGCCGGCACCACTCTCGGCCGGCGTGGCCCAGCCCTCCAACGTCAGCCGTCCTCCAGGCTGGGCGGCTGTTGGCGAGGATTTCTGGTCCTTCTCAGAGGCTGCTTGTACCCCAGCATGTACTTCCCACCTTTCATAGCAAAAGTCAGGGCCTCGAGTTGATCGACTTCAGTGACTTTCTCGTCTTCTTTGCAGCCATCGTCTTCCTGCCTTGGGTGCGGGACGGCCCCCAACCAAGCGCAGTCGCCAAGATGTCTGAGAGTCCCTTCATGTGGACCTTTTTTAAAATAAGGAATCTCTTGTCCTTTTCTCTCCTTGTAACCTTCATTTTCCAGAGATGAAAAGACCCAAGGGGGAGAAGGAGGGTGAACGTGTATGTTAATAAATTCTTCCCAAAACAAAAAAGGCCTGGAGAAAGAAAAATAGTTGCATAGGCGGCCGGCTCTTCTCCTTTCTGTAAAATGGGCGGAGTCAGCGTTGCTCTGAGTGTAAAGGTGCGAGGGAGCTTTCTCACTTTAGAACTGGTTGAAGGATGGGAGGAGAAGCCCCACAGTGGAGATAAAACTGTTCACTTGGTTACTAGTAAAAGCCAGGGTGGGCACCTTTGTGGAGGTCGGCGGGCAAGGGCTGACCCCTGCATCTGATAGATGTACCGCCCTCACGAGCACAGCCTCCATCTGATGTGTGACATGGAGCCGAGGCCGGCCTGTGCGTCCTGCCGGCAGGTAGGTTCTGAAATGAGAGGAGACAGACAGGGTCCAGGCCACACACACCTTTCCCAATCGGGGAGACACTTCCGTGCCTCCGAGAAGTGAATTTCGGTGGAGAGACCAGGTGCGTTTCTCTACTGGAGGTCCCTCCGCGTGGAAACACAAAGCCAGCGTTTCCTCCAGCCCCGGGGTGTAGCAGCGGCACACCAGCGAAACCAGGGGCAGCGGCGTGGGGTTTGTACATCGAGAGCGGGTAGGAGCAGAGCCAGGAGTGGGAGCACAGGGGGTCCTCGGGCTTCCTGCTGGGCTGGGGTGGGAATGCTGGGTCCGGGCCCGCTGATGTCCCCTCTCTCCTTGCCTCCTCAGCACGCCTAATGGGAACAGTCTCAGTGCCGCGGAGCTCACCTGTGGGATGATCCTGTGTCTTGCCAGGTAAGTGGCTGACTTCTCACAGCAGAGCCAGTCCCTCTGGTGGTCAGTTAGTACCATTTCCCCAAGCAGAGTGACCCACAGAACCTGGGGGACGCTTCAGCTTCTCGAGGTGCAGGGCGCCAAGAACCTTCACGCTGTCAGTCGTCTGCCGAACATTCCGTCCACTGGCTCTGGAGCACCAAGGTCGGGATCCAAGTGCTTACAAGTGGGGAGGGGCGGCCACTGGGCTGCCGCTCATCGCCCAGGGGCAGGGTTGTGGAGAGAGGAATTGTGCGTGATCTTTCTTTTCTCCTTTCTCTCTTTCCACCCTCTGCATCTATTCTCTGTGCGGGTCCTGCATTTGGTTTCCACACATTACCTTCTATCCGCTGAGCCTTGCAAATGCTGTTCCTGCTGCCTGGAGCACCTTCCCCAACGTCTTCGTCTGGGGAACTGCTCATTCTTTAAGATAAAGCTCCAGTGTTAATTCATCCAAGAAGCTGCCTTTGGATTCCTCAGCTGAGCCATGTCCCTCACTGATTCCCTTGGCCAGGTGACAGGGCTTAACCTGTCTATCACCATCCTCACAGATCTGTGTTGAATAGAATAGAATAGAATAGAATAGAATAGAATAGAATAGAATAGAATAGAATAGAATAGAATAGAATAGAATAGAATAGAATAGAAATAGAAATAGAACAGAATAGAATTAGAATAGAACAGAACAGACTAGAAAGCTGCCCCCAGATCCCTTTGCCTACTTGTGGGTTCGTAACACCAGGGAACACAAATGGTTAAATCTTTGACCTTTTTTGGCAGAATTCTGCGGGTGGGGCCTCTCGAGTAGAGGGGATGGACAGCCTAGGAACCTTTGGACGGACACATAATATGCATGAGCCCTACTGTGTTGGGTAGTGACATGACTGTTGAACAGGCATTTCTGTGACCAAGGGGAAGGGAGTGGAGCCAGTCACGGGGCAGGGAGCTGCCCTAGGTCCCTTGGCAGAACCTTGGATTCTTTTTCCTTGATCTCTCGGGCGCTTTCCTCTTCATCTCCCTGGCACCGAGTCCACATCAGAGGGTCAGAGGCTGTACTGGAAACGAATCACTGAGACCTGGGATCCTTACACGAGCGGCCAGGCAGCCAGGTCTCCTTGCTTCTCTGCTCAGGCCTGAAATCTTCTGGGGCCGAGAAGTTCCTCTTTCCCTCACCCGAGCCCGGTCTCCCTCCTGCTGGGGAAGACCAGGAGGGGCTCACCTGTGTCTCACTCTTCCCTGGGATTTCTGCTCTAAGATATTCACTGGTGTCCACTGGCCAGTGAAGAGGGGAAGAGGTTGGAGACAGAGGAACGGGGACAGCTGCCGCAGCAGAGGGGACCCAGCCTGGAAGGGTCGCTGAGCTGGCTGTCTGGGTCTCCCAGGCCATCTGAACTACACTTATTTCCCCCAGAAAGTGGGGAGGCCTGAGCCCAGGTGTCACCTGTGCTGTTAAACCCACTGCTGGGTTTTGGGTTTTGTTTTTTGTTTGTTTGTGTGAGGGAGGGATCTCCTTTCTATCTAATTCATTCTCTCACTTTTTTTCCCCTGGAGGTGGAAGGAAAGGCTTGGGAAACAGGGATGATTTTTCCCCATCCAGGAATCGGAAAAATGGAATGATTTAAAGAGGGCACCCCAGGCCCAGTCCCTCACCCATGACCTCACTCATCAAAGATGCCTCAAAACTAAGAAATAAGGACCCGTTAAGAAGGAACTGCCGTCTTGTGATTTGTGTGTTTCCTCAGACTGCTTTCCTGGCAGGGCAGCAATAGGCTGGAATGGGAGCTGTGAAGGGTCAGGTCAAGAGCACTGGGCCCTGTGGGTGTAGAGGCCCAGGATAGGCCTCACGGCAGGGGAGGGGCGCTTCGAACAGATGACAGGGGTTCCTCAGGTGCTGGAGAAGAACAGTGACATAGAGAGGAGAAGGCAACAGACGCAGATTTCCCCGTTTTGCCTGCTCTACCTTCTCTTGTAAGTCAGGCCCCTCGTAGGCTCCTCGCCCACTTCTTGGTCCCCGAGTCTGGCCTGGTGAGGACCTAACCTGGCTCTGTGACTAGCTGGGTGCAGCAGCTAGAGGGAGGGTCTGGGATTTCTTGTGGTCCGTGGTGCATCTTAGGCAGCACTGTGCAGTCAGGTGGGCAGGGGGCGGGAGATAAGGGGACCGAGAGGGGGCAGGTGGAGGGACGGGGGGGGGCTCCGTCACGCTAGATGAGGCATTTGTCAGGATGGCTCTGCTGGAAAGAGAGCACTTCCTCTCCACCAACGCAAGTCACTCTCCGTTATTAGTTTCCTGAAATGAGGCATGATGGGCAAGAGGAGGGAGATGGAGCTTCTCGCTGTGTCCTTAAGTTTGGCCGAAGTTACCCATGAGTCCATGGGGCTCTCATCACAGGAGAGCAGCTCCACCCTCGGGTGCAAGTCACAGTGACGTTTAGACATGAAAGAATTTGTTTTAAACTTCTCTTTTTAAAATATTTTATTTATATATTTTTAGAGAGAGGAAAGAAGAGAAACATCAATGTGTGCTTGCCTCTTGAGGGCCCCCTACTGGGGAACCTGGCCTGCAACCCACACATGTGCCCTGACTGGGAATTGAACTGGTGATCCTTTGGTTTGCAGTCTGGCACTCAATCCACTGAGCCACACCATCCAGGGCAGATTTTTTGTTTGTTTGTTTTAATGAGTCAGTGATGTAGGAACACAGAAACAATATCTTGGAATCTTTTCGTGTGTGCACGCACAACACACACCACTAAATTTTGTGGTTGGCAGGAAAGCCTGCATTTAAATACTTTGGAGGCTGCCTGGTCGGATCTTCCTTGGCTTTGAACCAGTTCAGCTGACTCCAGTTGGGTGATGCTGGGTGAGGTGTTTAACCTCCAGTGTTGGGCATTATGCAGTTGGGGGTTAAAACAACTTAATGCACATCTGAACATTTCCTATAAGAAGCTTGGATGGCCTTGTCCCAAGTGACATCTTACCCTGTGACCTCTGACTTTGCCCTTACTCCCTTCGTCTCCTCCAGAAACCACTAGGAGACTCAGACCTGCATGTTAATTAACCAACAGGAGGGGAGAGGCTGTGTGGGGTGGGGCGTGAGTGTGCCTGCAGGGTGGGGCGGGAGGTGGAGTAGAAGTTGGAAGTGTCAGGACTGTTACACCCACCCGTTGAAATCTAGCCCGAGGCCTTTGGGGCTTCAGAAACTCCTCAGGAAGAATAAATAATCAATTGTCCCTGATGCAGTAGATGTAGGCTGTGTCCCTGGAGAGACTAGGAAAACAAAAATCCTTGAAGTTCTGGAGCACTTGATGCCATCAGAGTTCTGCGACACCACATTTTGTTGTCCCTACACACCCTGGAGGATTGGCTGTTGACTGTTATGTGCCCAGAGTCACGCTGATACCCCAGACCCCAAGTCAAGTTTGCCAGGGTTCCGCTCTGCTGCACCACCTCGACCCTCCTCCGTGCTTCTGAACCTGAGGCCCCCAGACCCAGGCAGAGGTGGTGGCTGCGCACACGGCACGTCATGCTTCCTTCCTGAGCTGGCGGGGGTCTGCATGGGCCGGCTAAACCTGTGTCTACCCTTGCAGGCAGATTCCCCAGGCGACGGCTTCCATGAAGAATGGCAAATGGGAGCGGAAGAAGGTGAGCAGCCGGCCTTGCCTCCCCCACCCCCAGCTCAGTGCCTGAGGTTCATTCCTGATGCTGACTTTGGCTTCTTTGCCTGTTTGGCTGTAGTTCATGGGAACTGAGTTGAATGGAAAGACCCTGGGAATCCTTGGCCTGGGCAGAATTGGGAGAGAGGTGGCCACCCGGATGCAGTCCTTTGGGATGAAGGTAAGGGGTTGGTGGGCTTCCTGTAGAAGGTTTAGAAGAGGCAGCTTTGTTTGAGAGAGGCTGAAGGCTTTGTCCTAAGGGTCTGACCTCCCCCGTCCCCGCCCCCACTTTTAGAACCTTGACTTAAACAGGCGGTAAAGCCAGCGAAGGAGGGAGGGTTTCCTGCCTATGTGGACTCTTGAACTCAAAATCTGCAAAATCAAGAAATACTTGGTGGAGGTGCTTCAGTTCTGGGGGGAGGAACGGCCCTGAGTCCCAGCAGAGCAGAGAGGGGTCCCGATCCTGCCAACCTTCCCTCCCCTGCCGTGAGGGCCTCCTTCTTTGCTGTGTCTGTCGCCTGTGATAATTCAGAAACACGAGCAGTTGATAGATAGCCTTACAACAGAGCAGTTCTGTCCGTCTAGTTCCCCTCCACACTCCAGAAGAGACTGAAAGGCGCTTGTCTGTTCGCTGATATGGTTGTAGAGCCAGCGGTGGCTGGAAGACCCCATACGTTTCTCGGACTTGGTCTCTGACCTCTGCCCCCACCCCATACGGGTTTTATCCTGTCCTGGGAGGCTTCTAGTTGAGGGAGTGTTGTCATCAATAGCAGTGCCACCACCGGGGACATGGCAAGGGAGGAGGACACTCAGCCAAGAGAGGGATCCACAGAGGTGTCGGCGTTGGCCACAGTGACAGGCAACTGGGGGGGGGGGCTGGCGGGCATCTCCCTGTTGACAGTGGCTGTGAGGGGGTGTGGGTTCAAATTGCAACCAGGGAGGCTTTAGTTAAACATTAAAGAAAAGAGCGTTGAAAATCAGATCTAGAAAATTAACATAACACTGTTACAGAATTTCCCATTTCTCCCTTGCTCCCTCCCTTTCTGTCTGTCCCTCCCACCGTCATAGAGTTAGAGGGACCTTGTAGATGAACCCTTAACTTTATATTGACCTCTGTAGTTCACATGTTTGCTAAGGACTCCCAGTGAGTGGATGATAGACAAGATCGCAGGTGGGCATCCGTTCTACCATGTTGAGCTTCTTTCTGCCTCCCGCCTCCAGTCCCCGCCATATCCCAGCCTGCTGCCATCTTTCCTGGGCCTCAGCACTGGGAAGGGCAGGTACACTTCCTAAATCTCTGGGAGCAGAGGGTGTGGCCCAGTAGGATCCACTGATCAGGAAAACAAACCAGCCCCACCTCTCTCTGTGCTGGGGAGGCCTGGTGCAGTCCCCACAAAGAGCACTTTCTCCTCCTGCCTCTTTTGTGAGGGATCAAAGTAAAGGTTTAGCTCACAGGGAATTCTGATGATCTAAAAGCAGGGGTCAGGGGTCAGGGAAACTCAGAGTACGCATTGCCAAACAGGTGAGCCCGGGTTTCGTTGCCGATGCGGTAACTTTGGAAGGAACAAGTTCCAGGCCTAACGGCCATTCTGTTATTGATACTTTCACTCCCTGTGTCTGGTGCCATATCACATCAGATTCTTTTAATTCAGGGACATTTGTTGTCCGGGACTTGAGACTTTGGCAGTGACTTAACCCAGACAGAAAGCCTCACCGGATTTCTTCAATAACTGATGTGATCAGTCAGCTGTCTGTTCATCTGGCAACACTTGGTCACTCAGCTCCTGTGGGAGCTGCTTCTGGGGGCCCTGGGGATGGAGGACCTTGAACATCAGCAGTAGGAGTGGCTGCCACCCCTCAGACATGTGTTTGAGTCAGAGATGGCTAGGACCTGCTCATCGGTGTTAATCTGTGTTCCTGGGCACATTTTGCATGGCAGGCCCACGTCTGGTGTGGCTGCCTCCCTTTCGGGGGTTCTGTCGAGCTGTGTCTAGACGGTTCCTCTAGGCTGTCTTGCTTCTGAGACGTGCTGTGGTAAACCCCTGAAACATGCCTTGGGTGGCCTCCCCCGCTCCAAGCCCTCAAGAGCTCCCTGGCCCAGTCGTTCGCAATAACTCAGGGGCCTCTCTTCCCATTCAGCTGCCCACTTGGCTGCAGCTCCCTAACACGGTTTGGGTCCAGATGGATTTTGTCTCAGGGCAGAGAGATTATTGACCTGCAAGCCTTGGTTGATGTTTAAGGGGTCCCTTGTGGAGAGCAAGATTTCCTCAGTGGCAAGGAAGAAAGATTCTTGAACGAATTATAAAAGAGATGGTGTATCGCTTTCAGACAAGAACCAGTGTTCAGTTTGCTAAACGCGAGATCTTTTATTTACTTATTTAGTAGAATGTAAAACTACACGGTGGCGAGAGCTAGAGCCCCGGTCCTCTGCACAGAAGCTCTGGGGAGGGTCTTTACAAGATAGTCACTGAGCTCCTGAGAGGGGGACTTGGTGAGCAGTCTCTCCAGAGGCCCGGGGTGAGTGAGACAGCTGTATGTCTTGGAGAGGGCGGCAGAGGTGGCCTGGGCCAAGTTGCCCAGGATGGCGGTGCAGTGCCTGGCTGAGTTGTGGCAGCAATGAATATAGGCCATTACCAGCTCCTTCTTGGGCACAGGGGCTGAAATGCTACTGTCTTACAACAGCAAGTGGGGTTCTGCTGCCCAGGGGCTACCCCCTGGACAAAATTCCAGAGGCAGAGGTTTGATGATATAGGAAAGGAGTCTTTATTCAAAAGCAGCCCAGTTTTGGATTAACAACTTTTAACAGGCGTTAGTTAACTTACGCCTATCAACTAAAGCCAATCTTCAACTCTGGAGTTCCAGCTTTAATCACTTAAGCCTGTCAATTAAGGCTAAAATCTTTAACTCTTGAGTTCTCCTGTTTTTATGATCTTATTTCTATAAGGTTAGTTTGCAAACTTAAACAACATAAGATTCAAAAGCTACACAATTTTGGAAGGGCGGGCTTCTGCCTCGGAGCTCGTCCCCTCTAGAACACCCAAAGAATAACCCTTGCACCTTCTGACAGGCCAGACTGATCCTTGGCTGTGCCTGGAATTCCTTCTCCAATGTAAAATACCATCCTTCGGAAAACGCTGGTGGCTGCAGGAGGATCATTCAGGCCTCTCCGGGGAATAGAAAGAGAGGCGGCCTCTGCCTTCCTTCTGTTTAAATCCTCTGGCCCATAGTTCTGTGCACAATGGAGGCGTTCAGCTTCCCAGCCAATCCTGTCCTAGACTGTTTATTATTGCCTTGGGCAGCCTCATCCCACCTCCGCCTCTCCCTCCTCCTCCCCAGTAATCTGATCTGACTTCTCTACATCAATTCTAGGGCCCCTTGGGGTGGGTTTGAGGCAGACGACAGCACTAAGCTTGAAAGGGACATTGTGGAGCTTCCTGATCTCCCTGCAGCCTCCTTGCACTGAGACAACAGAAGCTTGGCCAGGATGATGGCTGCCTGGGTAGCCGTGGCTGCTGCCTTTGAGCACTTAACACCCAGACCAGCGTGCCCATTGCGGTCCCCAATGGCAACAAATGCCTTGAACTGGGTCCTCAGGCCAAAGCAGGTCTGCTTTTGCATGGGCGTAGTCTTCAAACCCTTGTCCTTGAGGGCTGCCCCCAGGAAAAAGTGGGTGAGCTCAGATTCTGAGGGGCAGCGAGGTTTCCCCCAGGGACTTGATCCTCACGCCCTTGCCCAGGCAGCTCATCTCAGTCACATGGATCTGCTCCTTGCCCTTGGCCTTGCCTCAGTGAGCTCCATGGCCTTGGCCTTGCATGCTGCCGCCGAGTCCTTCACGGAAGCCGCCGCAGCCTTCCGAAGCACCAGTGTCTTCTGCCATTTGCCGTTTTCCTGTGAGAAGAAAAGCGCAAGTTACTTTAAACTGGCCTTGTTCTGCCTTTGAAGGTTTTATTTATTTATTTTTAGCGAGAAAGGAAGGGAGGGAGAAAGAGGGAAAAAGACATTGACGTGAAAGAGAAACATTGACGATCGCCTCCAGCACGTGACTTGGGTTCCAACTGGGGTCTGAACCCATAACCCAGCCATGTGCCTCAGCCTGGAATTGAACCAGCGACCTCTTGCTTTGTGGCATGACACCCAGCCAACTGAGCCATGTTGCATCCCAAGTTCTCGAGAGAAGGAACGAAGACTTTCAGAGGTTTAAAGAGGTTTATTGAATCATAGTTTTACCTGCGCAGGGGCGAGCTCTCAGGGCGTCGGAGGACACCGTGCCAAATATAGCTGCAGATAAGAGTCGCGCCGAACGCTTACAGACTAGGGTTCTTATAGAAGCGAGCAAGCGAGCGATTTCCAGAAGCAAGAGGTGGCCGTTAGCTGTTGGTCAGGGGCTCAAGCTAGGGCTCGTGATCTTGCTGATGATTGGCCTGCAAGGTGCATGAACAGCCCGTGCTCAGGTTAGCCATTGGCTTGGGGGCTCATGCTCTACTGACTGAGCTAGCTGGGCTCACGCTAGGGGGTAAAAAAACTTCCAGGAGGCTATCTGCTTGACTAGTTCTTATTACTTCATTGTTCTTTTCTTAACTTCTTGGAGTATCTGCCCGAGGTGGGGTGTGCAGTTTCCCGCCTAGGCTTGAGCAAGCAGCTAAGGTCGAACAAGCAACTTAGTTTTCTTAAGACTACTTCCCTAAAGACTACTTCCCTTAGCTCCTATCATTAGCTCCTATCAAGCCACACCAGTCAGGGCAGCCTGACTGTGTCTCTGGAAACTAGTACCTTACTGGTAGATCGGCAGTTCCTAGATGTCACATTCCTGGGCTAATTAAAATTGTATTTTAGTCATGTAGTAGGTGAAGGCACTGTCATAAAAACAAAATGTGTGTGGATAGGGTCTCCTTGATCAACCATCCCGATTCCAGTGTCTCCAGGTAACGCCAGTTTGGCCTTTGCCGTCTCAGACTTCTTCCTGTTCATTTGTATAGAATGCATACGTTCTCCAGAGAATGGTGCCCATGCATTTACCATATTTTTAGGCCATTGTGTGGATTCTGTTCTGTGTATAAGTTGCTTTTGGGGGGGGGCATTCCCTTAGAGATGGACATTTAGAGTGTCTGTAAATGTGGACTTTGGCGAGACCTTGTTCGGGTCTTTCATGACGCCCTTGTGGAGAGACTGAGCCTGGAGCCA